AGATCTAGAAAAACCGAAGTGAAACGGAGAAGTTCATGGAGGTAGGCCTAGGACCACTGGGGCTGTAGTGCCACAGAAAAAAAGGTAAAGTTGTCCCTGTGCTTTATTAATTAAGCTCCACGTCATGAAGACGCATGGGGAGTGGAGATATAGCTCCACCATTCTTGGCCTTGGTACTAGATAGGGATGAGTGTTCAGCTTCGCGCCCCGGCCGCTTTATTCATGGGGAAAGATCCTCTGGCACCCATTCTATAAGAGTTGAGTGAGCCTCAGAGCCGGTCTGGACTCTGTGGATGGAAGAAAATCTCTCGTTCCTGTCGGGAATCAAACCTCCGGTCGTCCAGATTATAGCAGGTTGCTATACGGCCTAAGCAACCAATTCTGATGGAAATCGTTTGTTACTCGGTTCCCATATATCGTTTTTGCAGGACAGTCAGGAACTGCAGAAGTGGACTGAGGAGGTAGGAAACCGCCTGCAGAACATTATACCATCTAATTCAAGTAATCCTCGGTAGCCTAACCAGACCAGTTAAGGGGTGGTGGGTGGTGCGAGGGTGTGTGGACTGCGGCGCTGCATTAATTCAGGGGCTAATGAAACGATCTTCGGAGGGCTGACCACTTGTTTAGCCCCGTCACCGCACCTGTTGACATCTGCGGCCAGATACTATTGAAACTCATCCATTTACCGACAGCCACTGTACTTCCTCCGGGTCGATCAGATTCAAACTGACCAGAGCGGGGGCCCGATTCATCATACAGAGCAACGGAGCTACATCCCACAGCTCTGCAACTCAGACTACACAGGATTTCGCTAGCATGGAAAATATGTTTCAATATAACATCTGTAATGTAAGGTAAAGCTGTCCCTTTTCTTACATAATTAACTATGTCATGAAGGAGGAGAATATTTGGACCGAAGAGAGATGAAGTCACATGAGGTTGGAGAAAACTGCATAATGAGGAGCTTCATAACTTGTACTCTTCTCCAAGTATAATTAGAATGACCAAGTCAAGGAGGACGAGGTGGGCGGTGTATGTAGCACGAATGGGGAGACGAGGACTACATATAAGATATTGGTGGGAAAGCCAGAAGGAAACAGACCGATGGGAAGACGAAGGCGTAGGTGGGTGAAAAATATTAAAATGGATCTTAGAGAGAAAGAATGGGATGGTATGGATTGGATTGATCTGTCTGAGGATAGGGACCAGTTGAGGGCTCATGTGAGGGCGTATGGGGGGAGTGGATGTATAGACGTTTTATTGACCTCGACACTAGTTGGAAGTTATCAGCTTCACACCTCTGTCGTCTTACCCCCCGGGGAAAGAGCCCTCGGTACCCACTGGATTGGAGGTTGGGTGGGCAGGTCTGAACGACTTGGTAGAGAAAAATCTTGGCCCTACCGAGACTCGAACTCCGACCTCTCGGTCGTCAGGCCCGTAGCCAGTCGCTATACCAACTGCGCTATCCTGGCTCCTATATAATATTTGTAACGACACCAAATTTAAGTTTTTAGATATAAAAACATTTGAAGTTTTCATTGAGGGTTCTGGTAAATTAACGGGTGGATACGAAAACTGTGATCCACTTATGCTCCTTTCTTTTAATTAACTGACAAAATTTGACGGCTAAGGGACGTCTGCCCGCCACTCTTACGACCGTGAAATATTACAGGTTTGAAATTCGAAACAGGTTAGTTTATTTAGTGACCAACAGATGTAGTAGGTCTATAATCAACACAAGAGTTTTATTTGACAGATCTGAACATTTATAGACTACTTAACACTGTCATGTAAAGCGGCCTCCGTAGTCTAGGGGTAACGTTCCCACCTCATGATTCAAGGTACACGGGTTGAAACCCGGGCGGAAAAATTCAGGGAAAAAGTCCTCCGGGAGAGACTTTAAGCCGTGGGTCCCGTGTCATAGATTTATGGCACATAAAAGATCCTCATGTCTCTAGGAGACCTCTGAGCAAAATTAGGCAAAGTTTCCCGCCCAAGTAGTTTCCAATGCCTCCGGTAGATGGGGAAGTATCGGGAGCCACTGCCAGCTTCGCTGGCTGAACGGGGCTGATAGCGAGCACCAGTACCGGCAGGGTATGGCGACTGGTAGAATATCAAAGGGGGACGAACAATAGACTGTTAGTCGCGGTGTATGGGGAAACCAACCCCCTCCAATAATAATAATAATAAAATAACACTGTCATGTATATGGAGTGACTATAGACGGGTCTTCGACTGATGGCCAGATTTATTTGACTCTTTTTATAGCGAGTGACAACATTTTTCAATTCACTATTGCACATGAGCACACACACACACACACACACACAAACACTAGCACCCACCGTCACGTCTTCACTAGCCGTTGCTCGGTAGCGGCTTCCAATGGAGGACGTTCCCCTTACCCTGATATCACGAAAAATACCCGGCCTCTGCTACCAGCTTCTCACAGCAACAGCTCACAACGGCTGAACCGCAGAAGTTATCTAACTCACTCGCCAACCAAATCTTCACTAACTCCACTGATTGATTGATTGGAGCCTCACTAACTGTCCTGCTTATATCGGCACGGACCACACAGAAAACACCGTTCCTCTATCGCTGTTTACGGACCTCTGCCTAGTAACGGCTGATGTCTAGTTGTTTGTTTCGTGGTCGTTGCCTAGCAACGGGTCTACATGCCACAATATGTTATACGGGTTAGGTGTAGTATACAAGGTGCTTAAAGTAGGCTTGTAGTCCAACGAAGGCAGTGTAGGCACTGCAGTAACAGCTACACAATTTAAGAGCACTGTCAGTGAACTACCTTGTTTATAGCCTATTTCTTTTTTCGTGAAGCTTGGTCGAAACCAATTAGGTGGTCGCATGCAACAGGGTGGGGAGTGTGGGGTTTGGGTCGGTTCCAACCAAATCGCGCGGCACACGGCCAAAGTGACAAGTACTGTGAAGTGATATTAAGAGCCGGACAAATTTCTTTACTTTATTCCGTCACCACAAATAGGAAGTATCGACACACACGTTCGTCGTTTCTTACAACATATTTCGGCTCATTAAGCAATCATCAGGTATGTGGATCACATTCATCAGTATTCGTCGGCTGGCACTCCTACATTGGCCAGTGTTAACATAATGGAGTACTGGTTCTTTTAGTACGAGTAGTACGTAATATCGTTACATGCCGGTCACGGTAGCCGGGCGGTCTACGGCATGTACTGTCTTCGCTCGCTCGGAAGCCGGAATCGTGGGTTCGAATCCCACACAAGGCATGGATGTTTGGTGTGTGTATGAGTTTATCCAGTGTTTGTGTTCTCCTGTGTTTAGGTAGAGGTCTCGCGATGAGCTGATCACCCGTCCAAGGAGTCCTACGGTCTGTAAAATGATCAGTGACACTGAGAAATCAGCTCTGTGCTCCAAAGTGGGAGCAAGAGGGAAAAAGAAGAAAAAGTGCCGTTATATATAAAAATATGTTCACCTCTAACATTAAATATTGATTTTTAAAATGTTAAACATTCAAATTAAACGTATATATGAGATTTTCTTACGTTTTGTGTAGATGTCTCTTCATGTGTTAGTTTGAAGTTCCTCCTGGTCTTATTTTGATGTAGTTATGTGTTTTGTTGGCTTGTATGTTCATGATGGTGTTCTCTCAATGTTTGTGACCCTGTGTTATGTCTTGTATGTGGTGGTTGTGAAAACTGTTTGAAATAGAATGACCAAGTGAGTCATGACACTTGAAGTTGCAACAGGGAGGGAGAGGGAGCCGTTACGTTTGGTAAATACTACTTCACCTCACAAATAAAGACAAACTGCCTTACTCTCGTTGTATCTTCTGAAGCAAGAATTTCGGGACACAGTTATCCCTGTGCTTACCTAATTAAGCACTACTCCATGAAGACGTATGGGGGAGTGGTTGTATAGATCCACATTTTCTTGAGCTCGACACTAGCTGGAGGTAAGTGGTCAGCTTGACGCCACGGCGGCTTTACCCCCGGGGGAAAAGCCCCCAGTACCCATTGGACAGGAGGTTTGCTGGACTCCAAAGCCATCTGGACGAAGTGGAGACAATTCTTGACCTCACCGGGACTTCAACCCCGACCCCTCGGTCGTCTAGCCCGTAGATAAACGCCCTACCGACTACGATATTCTGACTTCTCAACTTCGGGACACAGAATTAATTAAAATAATTCAATATGCAGTTTTATATGAGGATTATTTATCAGTTTCATAACCAACGGCCAAACTTCATGTTTATATTAAATTTTCCGCAAGAGTTGCCTTACCTGAGAAAAGGACACAGGCCTAACTCTGTTACATGAAGAAGTGAAGGGGAGAAAACCGGGTAAAATTATACATCGAGGAACTCCATAACGTACGTTCCTCATTTCATAGTTCTGTTTTTTGGGCGTTCGAGAAAAAAAAATAGTTGGAAAATACATATAACGCTTCGGAAAACTTTACATGCGCAAATATGGATGTTAAATTAATAGGCAAAAAATCACTTTAGAGGCCTGCATGTACATGAAGACGAAAAGAATAACTTGGTACTTTGAGGAACATGTTGTGAAAATGGAGGTATAGAGGTAAAAGGTTAAGTTGTCCCTTTGCTTAACTAATTAAGCACAATGCCATGAAGCCGTAAGGGGGGAGTGGATGTATGGATGCATATTTTCCTGACCTCGGTACTAGCTGGACTTGAGCAGTCAGCTTCGCGCCCTTGCCGCTTTACCCCCGGGGAAAGAGTCCCCGATACCCATTGATTAGGAGCCTGGGTGGGCCCTAGAGCTGGTCTGGACGACGTGGATAAGAGAAAATTCTGGACCCTACCGGAACTCGGTCGTTCAGTCTGGCTCAAATGGAGTCTGGAGCGAAATGGTTCAGAAATTGGATGATCTTGTGATGACGGCCATGATCCTTTGAGTATAAACCCCCTCCGCCAAGAGAGAGAGTGACAGAAACAAAGAAAACGCCTTATTTCCAATGCTGTTCAAGCCGACACTTACCGTTGGCCAGTAGTCTGTGTGTCATCTGCAGATCCAGTCCGGCTTTCTCCTCCAGCTTTTGCTTCTCGGCCAGCAGCTGTTTCATGTATGAGGACATCGTCAATTTTGGTTCGGGTGTGGCAGGCGCCACGGCGGGAGTCGTACTCGATCCCGCAGGGGCACTCTCATAGTTGCTTTCTTCACTCATTGATCTGCATAAAAGAATAGAATTCTTTGTAACCTAATTGCGTTAAACGTCTATGTACTAAGTCCGTCAATAATGCAACACGCATCACATAGCTTTAAACAAGTGGACGACGCTCCCTACGAGGTGGAATATGATTTTACGGAAGATTTTAATAGAAATATTTTAAGTAATTATTTATGTTATCTTAAGTTTGGACGCATCGAAACACCTGAGGATGGCTGTCTGTGGCCGAAACATGTCGTGTTGGTGTTGAATGGTGAGTATATTAATGATTGTTGCATTATTGATTAACTAAATATATAGACGTTGAATTAAAGATGTGCAACAGGATGCTGCAACACAGAATTGCTTAATTGCGTGTTTGATTCTCAGGTTACATACCAGAAACGGCATTTGGTCCGTCTTCATATGGCTAAAGTAATTAAAACACGAAAATGAAGGGAAAGAAACCGTAATGAGGACAAAGGAACACACAGCATTGGACTCAGATGAAATTACTGGAGGGAAGGGAATCGGCTGGTCTCCGTGAAGGGCTTCTGCAAAATGGTGACAAATCTTCGGGTTGCATAAGCATAGGGAGATTCTTGGAATTAGCTACAAACGTTTCAAGAACCCCTCCCCCTGTAACCTGGAATAAGTCGATAATTGCTACACACAATTCCGAACAAGTATGACGGCAATAATTAATGGGGTGTATATAATAAATTGACCGCCTCTGTGTCAAGTGGTCAGAGTTCCTGGCTACAGATCCAGAGGTCCGGGTTCGATTACCGGCGCTACCAGATTTTCTGAGAAGTAGTGCGTCTAGAACGGGGTCCACTCAGCCTCGTGAGGGTAACTGAGGAGCTTTTTCAAGGAAATAGCGGCTCCGGTCTAGAAAACCGAGGTCAACGGCAGTGAGGATTCGTTGCGCTGACCACGCGACACCCTCTATCCGCAATAGTTGGCACTAACTTTGCCGACAAGCGGCGATCGCTCGGTCTGTCAGTTCATTGAGGACTACAGGGCACGGAGTTAGTTCTTTTATATAATAAATTGGTTGAAGTAGTGGTACATTTAAAATTAATAATCCGGAATTGCTTGAAGAGTCGGAATACAATAAAAAATCATCAGAGAAGACGGTGCCCTGTCCAAGACTCAAATCTAGTACCTTCCGAACGCACAGTTTTCCACTATACAAACCTGCTAGGCATAAACTAATCCTTAAAGCGGGGGATTCTTATCCTAAGGTCAAACAAACGTTTGAAATGTTATGTAAGATATGACGGTTTCACTGCGGTGACTATGAAGAAAGCAGTCTTCTGAGATTTGGCACCGTGCATATGTGGTGTTAACCGACGTTTCGGAGGAACGTATCGCCTCCATCTTCAGGGTAGAAGGAAAAATATAAGAAATCCGCAAGCGAAGAGACCGTGAGAACCGGTAAAAACAGACTGAGCGGTCTCTTCGCTTGCAGATTTTTATATTTTTTCTTCTACCCTGAAGATGGAGGCAATACGTTCCTCCGAAAGGTCGGTTAACACCACATATACACGGTGCCAAATCCCAGAAGACTGCTTTCTTCATAGTCACCGCCGTGAAAGCCTCAAATCTTACAGAGAATAATCCTGCTCATTAGGGATACTCATTCCCGAGCAGTGAGTCCCTTTACTGACCGAGCTGCGCGGCTCAATACCGCATTTATATCACGAATGCTAGGATGTAGTGCTTCTTGTTAGGCCAACTGCTGTCTTCAGCACTCTGCGCAAGTCTGCAGTAGTTACATCGCTTGTCTGTGTACAGGCCTGCACGGGGTTCCCTCCTGCCTCTTTATCAATGTCTGTCCAGACAGAACAAAGATTCCCCTCACTGCTTTGTATGTCTCTGATTGTATAATATCATATTACAGTGTTTTATGGACTCCTGAATTTAATTGTGACGGAATTAATTTCAGTAAACTGATTGCTAACCATAAATTCAGTATGGATGTGGGAGGAGCGAGTAGGGGCTTCCTTTTGTATATCATCCCGATATATCCACAATGGGATCTAGAAGCATCTCAAAACATCCTCAGTCAATAGAACAGGGCTTCGACCGGGATTCGAAATGATACCGATATATAAATCCTCTCTTTCTTTGGTATACGCCATTTTGGTGAGAAAACCTCAACATAGACTGATGAACTCGGCTATGACCCTGTGGAATTCATGACCGCATCAACTGTCACATTCTCCAGTAACACTGAGTTCAATGTAGTTGACTAAAGAAATAATTATACGTGAACAACTCCAGGGATCATGCTGCTTCTTGAGAAGCTGACACTCCCCCAGCTGGTCAACAAATGATCTGCCTTTTATGGAACCCGAAAGTTCATTATCGTGTTCACAAGAGCCTTCTACCAGTCCCTATCTTGGGCCAGATGAATTCAGTCCACGTCCTTAAAACCTTTTATTTAAGATCCATTTTAATATTATCTTTACCCGTTGGTATTCCAGAAGTCCTCTTCTTTTAAGGGTTTTCGACTAAAACATAGCATGAATTTCTACTCTCGCTAGCGTGCTGCATACCACGCCCATCTCACTGCTCTTGATTCCGTCGCCCTAACAACATGTAGATGAAATTCTTTTGGTTTTGACATATGACCTTCGCTCGCTTGACCAAACTATAATTTCAACAAAGGAATTAAAAACATAAAACATGATCTAACGCTCAATGATTATCCAAAAGAATTCGTTGACTCTGTAACGAAGCCATCGGCAAGAAATCCTCCTTCTTCAGACACACTATACCAGGGTACTGACGTCATCCCATGTTTAAAGGGCACTTCCGAGAAATTCAGATTCGGGAACCGTTTCAATCTCAGAACAATTTTCAAGACTAAATGCCCACTCCGTGGGACACTGATGAAAACTGGACCGGTTAGAGATGCCCAGCAGACGAAGCAGTGTGTGTACAGCATCCCATGTAATTGTGGCAGATGTTACATCGATGAAACAAGCAGACCTTTAGAAGTACGCATCAAGGAGCACAAATATAACCTGACACAGGGTTTGTTGGAAAAATCAAAATTAACTCAACATGTATAAGAGGAAGGCGACAAGATATGTTGGAATGAAGCAAAGGTCTTGCAGATCGAGCCCAACACCACATACAGGAAACACATGGAATCAACCCATGTCTCTGCTGGACCATCCGATCAGTCAACCCACTTTGCATATCTCTCCAGATGGAACCCCGTCATAAAAGCAGAAATAAAGACTACAACGCCATCAAGTGAGGATTGAGTGGGAAAATTTGTTTTTCTTGTGTTGGTACCATAAGAAGTATTGCTTGTATCTAGTGATGATTTCTATCGAGATGCTTCTCTAGTGCAAGGCTTCATATGTGTAGAGCTTTTTAATTATTTAATGTTTTCTTAGCTCTCGCAGATGGTTTGTGCTGTGCTTGGCTTGTGTACCCCATCTTGGTGCTGGCACAGGTGCCCGGAGATAGGGACTAGTTCTATCGATTGGGCCCAACTGAGTAGGTTTTACCTGAAGACGAAGACAGAATCCAGTCTCCGAAACGTCGTGTTTTGAAAAATAAACAGGACGGTTGGTAATGTCCAGAAATATAATATTTGTACTAATTTACTATCGTTACAAACTTTTAGATCTTAAATCACAAATAACAACAAAAAATAACAATCATGCTTATAGGAACAGCAATAACCCTTGAGATATTCGTGAATTCATACCGTTTTGTTTTTACGTACAGAATCTCATGAAGGGTGCACCGATCTCTGGTCAGATTTGGTTATCATTTTCGTGGTTACTAGGTCTTGTTTTAGGCAGATCTTAGGCTGGGATATAACGTCAATGAGACGAAATGTGAGAGGCTATCTTCTGCAAGGTACAATACAATAATGTCGCACTGATTGCGCTGTAATACGTACCGGCCAAAGCCAAATGAATTTGTTGCTGTGATGCATCAAAATATTTCCTTTCATCAGTCGCCCTAAGCTGAGTTTCAAGTCTTACGCAGTGTGTCAGTCTTAGGCGCGTCGAGAAATGACGGCTGCTAAGTTATGTGGGAACTCGCTCCATGTAACATTCTCCATCCTACGCACGAGATATAAGACCTATCACTTAAAAATAATGAACCTCCTGTCTAAATTTATTTGATGTTCGCGATCAATGAAAAGAAAACCTCTTCCGCCATCTCTCAACTGTTAAACCTTACAATTTATGGAGTTTCAAGAATATAAATTATACGTTACGGATAAAATATAGTCCGCTACAGAAGTAGGTTTCTTTAGATAAAATAAAAATGAAAAGTGTTAATCCAACTGCAGACCGTTTCATCCTAAATCTGCATGAAAACTTTCAGCAGAGCATTTCAGAAAACACAAGGAGTGCAAATATAGTTCAGGAACATATGTATAATTCATATTTCAAAAGCTAATCACGGTATCCAAAGGTTCGTTCAGTTCCAGTCCACCTGACTTCTGTTTGGGCGTACAGAACGTATACAGTCGAATTATCGGCCATGTCACCGACTGTACTGACTGATAATCTTTGTTTTTACTCAATCCTCTCACGTATATTCTGGGATAGTACATTGATGTAGGTCATGAGCGCTTTCATCCACGTCTAGCATTCGCAACCATCCACACCATACGTCACACAGGCTACACCTGCGTAAAAAAGTAACGTTATCCCTGTGCTTAACTAATTAAGCACTAAGCCAAGAATATGTATGGGGGAGTGGATGTACAGAGCTGGGAGCCGGGAGAGCGTAGTCGGTATGGCTATGGGCTGGACGACCGAGGGGTCGGAGTTCGAGTCCCGGTAGGGTCAAGAATTTTCACTTCTTCAATCGCCCAGACCAGCTCTGGGGTCCACCCGACCTCCTATAAAATGGTTACCGGGGGTAAAGCGGTCAGGGCGTGAAGCTGACCAGTCACCTCCAACTAGTGCCCAGGTCAAGAATATGTGGATCTATACATCCACTCCTGCGTAGCTGATGAAATATTTAAATAAATAG